CGCGGAATGCGTGGTGGCAATCCCCGACCTTCAAAACCTCATGGTGGACGTCAACAATATCCAGGCCATGATCACGATCATACGGGAGCTCGCGTACTCAAGGCTGAAGAAGGAGCTTTCTCACGTGGGATTCGTGAGCATGACTGTGGATCAAGCAGCGCAGTTCTACAACAACGGTCACGGGAAGCAATTGTGCGCATCCCGGGATGTGATCGTGTGCAAGAATTCCGAGGGAGTCGAGGAGAGGATGTCCATCTTCTTGATAGGCAAGGATCTCGGCAATGTGGCATATTCGTCATGGATCAAGAGTGTGCTCGACCAAGGAACGATGTATGAACTCCTGGGACAAACCACGAACGAGGAATCCTTGGGAGACGTCGTCGAGATGGTGTTGGGATTCTTTGAGGTGATGTCGTACTTCCAGCACGAACTGCCACTGTGGAAGGATGCATGGAAGATCAAGAGGGAGTTCGAGCAGTCAATAGTGCGACACCTCGCTGGGAACGTGACCCACACGACGGGCCAGAACAGAAAGCGGAACAAACCGTCCGCACAGCTCGGCGTGCCCACGAAGGAGGTGCTTGACATCATGAACAAGGTCAAGCCCAGACATCCACGATCCCTGATCACCGAGCCCTCTGCACAAGGGTCCAAGAGAAAGGCCACGGAGGGCGAAGATGAGGGTCTTGGTCAAGCACCAGACCCGAGTCGAAGTTCTCAGCCCAATGCTGAGAAGGAAGATAAGAAGCAGCGAGTGATCGATGGGCGGAGAGCGGCGCTAGGATTCCTGGAGTCAATGGAGAAGTGCATGGGAGACATGGGGATCTGCAAGAAGTGCGCAAACCTGGCCCACGACGGCGACTGCAAGGACATTGAAGAGGCTGCTGGAAATGAGAAGGCGATGAAGGTGCTCCGTGAGCTACTCAGCAGTGACCCTGTTTCATCTGATGAAGACATGGGGGATACGGAGGAACCGACCTCATCAACGTCCAAGGAAAGAAAGAAAGGGGGACAAGCAGGGAAAGAAACAATTGAGATGTACAGCTACACTATTAATTTGGTGGAGATGGCTGACACGGCTGAGGGAGGAGAGCTACAATGTGGTGGCGTCGACCTCACCTACAACCCGTGCGGGGACAACAGGACATTCAAGAAGACGCTTGAGATGGGATGCGACACCATCCCGTGCTACATCCCGAAATATGGCGATGTGAGTGATGTGCACTTGCCATGGGCGTATGCGTCCATCGTTGACCCCAAATACTTTCCCAAAGGTGCAATCCTTGAGCAAGTGGACGTGATGCAACTTGGCAAGAGTGTCAACTTCTGCATTGCTCCTTTCGACGGTGCTCCACTATGCAGGATTGGTGATGATCGCTCGGTATTTACTACAAGGGACCAAGCAAACCAGCTATCTCACGACCTATGCAGAGTCCTTCGACACAAGATCGGCAATTGCCGAGGAAGTGCTTTCAGGTGCGACGAGGGTGGATGGGTCGACATTGATGCTGTCATTGACGACCGGAACAACGACATATTCCCACCGTACACCACGAGAGCGAAACGATACATGGGCATCATGGAGGTGATCAAGTGGCAGGAATCCGGAAGCAAGAAATCGAGATTCCAGGTTCTGGCAGCAAGGTTTCCGAGCATCATGAACCCGAACGACACGAGGGCAGCCAGGGAGGAAATGACCAAGGCTGGCGTGGATCGGGACGACATCGACAGGATGTTCAACAGATGCGATGGATGGTACAGACCTTGGTGCATCCGAGTCACAACCGGTCACAGTGATTTTGGATTCATGAGCTCATCCGCACTGGCGAATAGGTATTCCGCAAGAATGGGTGATACTCTCGGAGGAGCATTCCATGTGACGTATGTGGAAAACCTGCCAAGCATCGTACGCTGTGGGCTAGTCCCCGGCGGAATCGATGGCGGTAACAGGCTAGCACTGCACTTCGGGGCGTTTGCTCCATGGGATGAGATGAACGTGGCGACGAAGACAACGCTACGGAACGTGAGGAGAGGGGATCCGATTGCGATCATCTATATTCCCAGTGCAACCCTCGCGCGGTATGGGGCTGGAGTCGCGGCTAATGGGACTTTCATGGTCTTTGACGTGATCCCGTTCTATGAGGTCAAGTCCATTTGGATTGGCAAAAGCAACGGAGGGAAGCGCCTGGAGTACGCTGACATCAAGAGGGCGTACTCGAAGTGTGTGGAGAACGAGATCTGCCCTGGCTTTGTCAACTCTTCCCAAGAGTCGGCTGCGATGTTCCTCCAGAACGTCGCAAAGATCAGCGAGAGGATGCCGGAGACTGAGACAGGTGCCGATAATCTGCACTACATCGTTGACATGGTTAATCGTGCTTGCGAACTCTATCGAAACAACAAGATGGAAGAGTTCAATGCACAGGTCAACGAGGTCCGGGACGAATCAGCAAAGTCGTCATCCTGAATGATGAGACATGGGAAGGACTGAGGTGCCGGATATGTCCATCATGTGCGACCGCGATCCCCACCTGCTTCTGCTTATGCCTGGAGTGCGAGGCACAACTGATCTCCATCGGAAGATACTACATTCACATCAAATCCGATGACGAGGAGGACAACCAAAACCCCAACGTCTCTGGAGATGCCAGGCGTGCACAGGAAGAAGCTAACCACGATGCGGCAGCACAGGAGGATGAAGACGAAGCGGAGGAAGTTCCGGGAGAAGATGACGACATGGACACGCAAGGATATACATCCGGCTATGCGTCAGAAGAAGAAGACAGCGGTTGGCATTACCGCGACACCGATCTGACGTCACGGGACATTATAAGTTCCCAACGGATGGCGATCTGCCTTGACGAGCCGCGTGAGGCTCAGTACATGGCAGGATTTATCGCACTCCAGCTGTCCAAGATGTGGGGGATGTTTGAAGGTGGTGAGGAGAGAACGATGAATGCCGGACTCGAAGGGAATCCGGGCTGCCCTTATCACAATGATTTCAGGAGGTACCCCAACATCACTGAGCATGATCAGGAAGGTATACTTTTGCCATCAACAATAACGAAGATTTCTCAATCGGAGAATGTTCGGACAAGAGCCTTCCGATCGGTTGAGGAGCGTGACGAATATATTCGTATGATGGTGTGCAAATGCGAGGGACTTTACACATTCTACAAGCTGTGGATTGCAGCGAGAATCCTCGATGTCACCAAGGAAGAAATGAAGCTCCTGGTCAAGGACCGAGTGCACCCGGTGGGTGATATTATTTTCAGATGTTTTGCACTAGCTTTCAACTGTAAGTATATATCATTCGTGAGGGATGGCCTGAACCTTGGCAAACATGGTTACACGGTCAACGTGAGCGCCATCATCTCGGCCGTCGACCCGAACAAATGCGACACACCCCTGCTGGATTGGTGCCTTCGGAAAGGGCACTGGTTGCCAGAGGACTACAACAAGAAGTGTGTCCGGGCACGAGAAGCCCAGAAGAACTTGGACGAGGAGTTCCGCCGACGTACCCATAGGCTGTCCATTGGGGACAGGTATGCTTCGTGAAGATGATGATTGCGGTACGATGTGGGCCAGTCCCCATCTGTTACTTGCGTCACATCGACACTGTTTCGGTGGAACGACTTATGTCATGATTTATATTCATGTGTCCAAGACGAATGGATGTGTACATGGTTACATATTCCGACGACTATGACGCTCTGGATATTCATGGATGGAATTATTACCTTATAGATGATATCTTTTCATTATTTATGCATTGTCCATGGTATCTGGAATGGCTATGATTTGCATTGATTACTCACCGATGTTTCTTTGCCGGAGATATGCAGACCGATCACAAGCGGGCGCGCTGGTGGACATTTGTGGCCAACCCATTTATGGATGACAGCTGCGCGATGCGCAAATGCGGCAGCTGGAATGTTCACTGGCGGTCAAGTGAAGTGGCCACAGTGTATTATATACACCTGCATATGGATGTGTGCTTCGATTGGAGGATGAATGTTTCACTTTTCGTACAATCGAACCCGGCATGTTTCACAGCGAATGAACGGTGTAGTGATAGCAAGTAAAAGAATGCACGACACGATTTCGTAGTTGAAGCCGTGGCCAGTGGAACGTTTTGTGGTGTTTGGACCGCATGATGAACAATGCGACCCAAATGGGGGATGTTAAAACCCTCTAGGCCCCGTGCCGAAATTGGGTAGCTGTTCTGAGGTCCTTGTTGGTGTTGCTTCCCAAGTTCCATTGATCGCCATTTGGCTCAAGACACAATTGAGGTTCAAGATCTGATGTGTGACTGCGCACATACGTGACGGGCATTAAGAGCAAAACAACTGCTTGCGCTGCATTCGTCAGGACCACTGTCGTAACTATCATTCCTTCTTCCTTACAACGTTTACACGGGTTCGGCTATAACGGCATCGTCCGTATACACCTTTCTACGTGGTTGGTATTAAAGCTTGAGGGTTCGGTGCACAGCGTCCCACGGGACGTCACCTTGCCGTCTCTTGACACATACATACATACATACATACATACATACATACACATTATACACATACATGTACACATACATGTACACATACAATACATATACATATACACATACACATACACATATACATACATACATACATACGTACGCACGTACGTACATACATACATACGCCCACACATAGTATAAACACATATTACACCTTACGTACATATTCGCTACATGTGACAATGCATTGCATTTACATTGCACTTGCACTAAACTGCCACCACAATTATATTTCATTGCGGTATGTTACGCTGCAGTACACTGCATTGCATTGCATCACATGCAACATCGCACTACGTTGCAATATGTGGCGTTACGCTGCATTACACTACAGTACAATACAGTACAATGAAGTACAAGACAGTACAGTAGATTGCACTTCAAATATGATTCATAGACAAACTGAGGCATGGCACACGGGGGCTTTCGCACGCCTCGACCCGAGGTGATCGTGCAAGCCACTGGAAATGCTCTGACCAAAGCAGTCACCGCTGCAGAGGCCAGGTTTCTGCCCAACGGCCCGCTTCATCTAGTTCAAACAACGCTCCACATCGAGAGTCCTCTTTGACTGTATTGGGAAAATGTATGGTTGCCTCTCACAGGGATCCTTATCAGACAACGGCTTTCCCGAAGCAAAGAAGGAAAATGTGTTCTTTGGGAAGAGACGCGTAGGTTAAGGGAATCCTTGCTGGTGCTGAAGAGGCCACGGAGGCGGCCTTTTGGATGGGTTTTCCCGTCCAAGAGGCAACTCATGCCAGGGTCCCGCGTACGGACATATGGGCCCCAACATGGTTTTCTTGGGGCTCTCACTTAAATTTCCTGCGTGGAATTATGCAGCCTTTGAAGCAAGGCGGTTTTGCAGCCGTGACTTGCTCCTGGGCTCTTTTGGCAGCCCCTTCCTTTTCTATACTGTGTTTCACGCCGGCAGTTCTCACTTCGAACCTGTCTAGCATGTGTAGTGGTACTTGATGGTTTAGCCTTTGCAACGCCAAGGTTTCCTGACGGTTTCCTGATGCCTGGTGCCTCCAAAGACACGCTCGCGCGCGACTGCTCGCTCGTGCGATAGCGGGCAGGTCATCAAAAGGCGATTCAAGGGCCTGCACCAAATCACAGAGCTGAAAACCGCACGGGCCCCAGGTCCTCCCAGCACTGAAGCTCGGAGGGTCTCGGAAGACTATGATCCTGAAAGGCCTCTTTGGAGGAACCGCAAAGGGTGCTCCCCTACAAAATCAACATGCACCCTTTTGGGGTCCACCAAAGTTTCCTGCACAAAGGATGGTTCTACGCGTTCCACTTGAATCTGCGGGATAATAACCTCAAAACAGACAAGCCGAATCATGTCTGGCTCTCGAAGTTTGAGGTTGAGATCGTCGACGAGTATGAGCCGCTGGAGGAAGGACTGGACAAGGCTGACTCGAGTCAGACGGAGGAGCCTCTAAGCGCGGCTTGTTTCCCGTTTTTTCAGCTCGCTTTGGGTTACCAATCCTTCATAGTGACCCCAGGAGGCATTTCCAGACATTCAAAGACCCTTGTCCGATTTTCCCTTCAACAGCAGCAAGAAGTCGACTGTGGCAGGCGGTTCTAAGTTTCGCCAGGGAGTGACTCTGACCCGTCCTGAAATCTTGAGTTTGACATTCCACCTGACTCTTCGTACCACACTCATTTCCCACCATGTTGCAAACAGTTCAGCTTTTTGCAGGGCCAATTCCAGCCAGTATGGTCTTGATGTTCGGTTCGAGGGCTCTCAGTCAATCATCATTTGACTGCGTGTGAACACTAGGACCCCTCCACCTGGTTGCAGTTCTTGTTGGTTGCCTTCTGAATCCTCAAAGCGCGGGGCCAGTTGACACATGCCCAACGCAAATTTGGACTGCTCAATATCAAAAGTTCATCCAGATTGCACCACACCCATTAAGGATCGCAAATACGGAGGTACTAAGGACTGCCACAAATCAGCTGTATTGGCTTTGTCTAGGGGAACAGTGTTCGGCATGGTCCCAAAAAGCTGCTTTATCAGGTTTGTGTGTCAATAATTCCACAAATTGGGCGAATTCCGCAGTTGGCCCAAACTTTCCGGGGTGAAATACAGAAGCCAAGGAACAGCCACACGATCAGCTTCGGAACTCATGTTTGGATGAGAACCAACCGCTTTGGGATTCAAGGGGCATCCATTTTCCATGGCGCGGAGGTTACAGATGTCCGTCACGTCTCCGTGATCGAGATCAAGCTTTCAAAGGACGCAGCTACAGATCTCACTTGGCGCGGTGTTCGATTGCTTCGGTGTGTGTTGCAACTAGAAATGCTTTTAAGAGGGTTCCAACACAACACACATCCACAGAGTGGTCCCTACAGTCACGGATGTATGCAACAAGAAACATGCTGGTCTGTGGTATAAGCGAATCGCTCCTGAAATCTTTTGGAATTTGCCAAGGGATGGTACAAGGGGCTAGATAATTGCAAACTTTGTTCTCCCAGCATCGTCATGCCAAAAAAACAACCTCACAGCCCATTCGAATTATTTTCTGAAGCCGTTTTAAGCCTACCAAAAGCAAAGCTACAAAAGTGCTCCCTAAACATAGATTTGTTGCTCAGATCCGGCAAAGTGACCTCTGGCACGGCGTTTCTTCCAAAAGCAAAAGGTGGCTCTTTTCCCAACTAGTAGCTAGTCAATGGGCACCGACCTCCTTTTCAGCCCCTTTGAACGTTCTCCAACTTCTTTCCGTGGGCGGAACCAAAAAGTCCCAAGCTGCCGCGGAAATAGTGGTACGTAAACGAACGTGGGTTGCGCCAAAACATGAAGGGCCAGCAATCGATCCCAACAGACCTTAAAAACACTGATAGGCGCGAAAGTCAGGAGATGCCCCTTTTGGGGGGCCCCTTAGCAGCCGTAGCATAATTTCAGGACCACTTTCTATTTGACCGGGGACTCTTGCGTTTGCCTTTGGTTTTGGCTTTGCTTCTAACCGTTGCTAGCTTGTTTTTGTCTTCTTTATCTTTGAATCCTTTGCGTTTTGCTTCTGATGGTCACCCAGATTGAAATACTGTTCTAAATTGGTGGATTTGTTGTTGAGGGGATTTGCAGCCCTTATTCTTGATTAAACCAAAGGAGAGACCATCCGCTCTGCAAGCTACCTATCAGAACCTGCAAATAGGGGAAAACTGATGTACGTGGATGAGGTCTGGCTGCTACCCACTTCTTTGAAGACGCAATCCAGTTGCTCAACCGCATCGGCAGGTGCCCCCCAAAACAAATCGTGTGTGTGTGTATATATATATATATATATTGTGTAAATGATACAAAACAAGGATACCTACGCCAGCAGCTTCACCCAACAACTCCACGGCTCGCGTTTCGTGCTTTCTGGTTTGCTGTGCGCTCGCCAGGACCCCTTGGACACAAGTGACAAAGGGTACCAACCGCCTTTGGACGAGAGCCTGGTGAAAGAATTTGACCCAGAGGACGGGCGGGTGGGTGGGTCCAGGCTCGCCTTCGCTCGCACCCATCTGTTTTCATACCATTTGGAGCTCCTAAAGGAAGGTGAGTCTTCAAGCAGCCTGGTTCCCATAGTTCTTCGGGTCTTTTCCCATTTTCCCAAATCTTTGAGGGCCCTTGCGGTGGCTTGCATGGCCATGTGGAATTGAGGATTTGTTCACTTTTGGCGGTCCCTCCTTGTTTTCCGAAGGGGTTCGCTTGTGTTAGGAGTTTTGGAGTCATCTCATGAAGCACCGCTCTTGTGTGGCTTTGACGTTTACAGACACATAGACATACATCGATGCACAGCAACAACTTGCAGTTTCTCAGACTCCAGGAATGAGTTGGAATGACTTTGTAAACCATCCCCTGTGGTTTCCCGAAAGTGCTGGGGCGATTCTCCCTACTAAGACCGTCAAGACACAGCCGACACAACAGGTGACGCGCCTTCGATGCCTCGGCCAAGGGCCAACTGTGCTGAACTTTTTGGCCAGAGCCGAACGGAGAAATGGTTGCTGTTCCTTGTCCTGCAACCAGTCAGTTGGTTTCGCCCTGCAGCTGTACTTCCCCCATTCTTTTCAGGGATTCTTGTTTTCAGAAACCAAAGACCCGGGGGAAGACTGGGGAAACGAAAGGGGGAAGCAACCGTTTGACAAGTTCTTAAGCAGACCACTTTGCAAGTACTAGGGCCTGAACAATTGGAATGGGGTTCAGGGGTAATTTAATGCCAAGTTAAGTCATGACATTACTGGAGCAACATGTTAGAAATTATTTGGCGCCTCCCCAGCTCTTCCGCATAGCAGGTACCAGGCGGAAGCACGATGAAAGTAAAGGCTGTCACAACATTCTTCTGTCGGCAAGGGGATGAAGCCAATATGAGGGAATTGGTGTCACCTACCTTCAGGATCGCGTTGCTTTCGCAGGACATGGTGCGCGGGCGCGGCCGCGGCCGCGGCTTGGGCAAGGGTCGGGGCGCCCCGGTGCTTTGTTTTCTTTCCGACCCATCGGACCAGGACCGAAGTTGCGAAATGGACTCGGACCTCTAGGTTTTGTTTTTGTTTTTTGGGGGGAGGGGGTTGAAGGTGAGGGTCGGGTTGCTTGGTTGTTTTCTTGGGGCTCCATTTGCTATTTCGGGAACCGTTACAAGTCACTGAGCTCAGTCTATGGGAGTCACGACTTTGGGGATGGCTTCTGAAGGGCTGCTGCTATCCACGAGAAACATGCTTTGGATCAACCACCTGTGTGTTGATCAGGGATCTGTAGACGACTGACGCTGTTGAGTAGCGATGTTGTTCTTCCAAGGCTGGTCCCTAGGTGTTGCATTTAGGCGTTGATCAATTAAATAGCAGCACCCGGCCGTCAATCGAGCAAAAATGTGCCTGCGCCGTCACTAGCACTTCCAACAGCTCCCCAAACAGCATCCTAAAACACCATCTGGGTTTGCCCAGATGCTGCTTGGCGAACCCAGTTACTTGCATATCAATTCACTTTTAAAGCTGTGCACCTTTGCTTGCCTTCGTGATTTGAGGGGTCTAGGGCCAACAAGTCCTTCAACTTTTTCCAGTGAACTCGGGTCAGCCCCATCCTCCAACGCCGTGGCCTCCTTCGTCTCTTTGAGGCCGTGGCAAGGGCAGCGGCCGCGGGCAGCTTGGCGGTTAACCCTCTGCAGCCTTGACTGCTGGGTTGGATCTTTTACACTTTAGCTCTTTGGGCTGAACAAAGAGATTTGGCGCTTGGGGCCTTTTTTAGATGTCCTTCTTTTTGTCACCTCCGGTCCATGGCCGGACTATTCTGCCAGTCATGCCACCGGCACATTTCCTTGAGGGAAGAGTTAACCACTTTTTAGGCAAGGGGTGGCTCGGCATCGAGCCAAAGAGACGGCGCCCTTAGAGAATCTTTGTGGGGTGTGCAATTTCTCAACCTGGGTGGGAGGTATGCCAAATTTGTCAACCAAAAAGGCGAACCTGATTTTCTAACCTGAGAACTGGCAACCCCAAAAGAATGCACGGGGTCCCTTTGGTCTCCCAGTTTCTTCCATCACCGCCCAATAGGGGGCCCTGTTCCAATTATTGGACTTCATGTCAACCATGTTCACCAATCATCCCCGCATGACGGGAACAACCTGCGCCCCTTGATCATGGTCAAGCTCTGCAGGGCTAAGTAGGTTTCAATAAATAAAGCGAAGTCAGGGTTTGCGACATGACACTGGTTTGAACAACTGGACCCTGTCCCCTTCAAGCGGAGACCAACATGAGGATGTTGGAACAGCTGGTTAAGCAGGCACCGCAGCAAAACTATGGGTGTGTCTCCAAGTGAGCGCACCCCCCGCAGTGACCGCAGTGGGTGGTTTTTGTTTGTCTGGCAATGTTGACCCCAGATTAATATACCCAATATGGGGATTTGTCACTTTTGGAGGGGCAAACCCGCTTATCAAAAAAAAACAGGGTTGATTAATCTGGGGTCAACATTACCAGTTCGTTAGAAGAAAACCGTTTCACGCGATTGCCGTGACTTCTTCCTAGTGAAAAACCACAACATGCCGGCAGGAAGGGAAGCAAGGGCAAGGCGCGCCGAGGGAGAATGTGGGTTTGTGTCCAAATACATCTGGGGGTTCCATGGGTTTCCTACAAGAAATCGTCAAATTTTGTAATGGCTTCTAAAAACGAGGTTTCCTATATCTATATGGAAACATCATGTATAGTTGGTTTCTCATATGAGTTTCCTCCTTTCTGGGGGTTTCCTACTGGCCCCGCAGTTGATTGTGCCGGTATGAAGAGGGTCGATCAAATCGCCTTTGGGCAGAAGATTTGTCGAAGGGGTCCTTTCGTCTTCCTGTTCCAGGGCCACTTGTCCAACCTGACAGGGTCTTGAGCCCCTCTGGGTCAGGGCCTGCATGAACGCCTTGGGGTGGTTCAGAAGATCACTACAAGGTCCCCACTCCGCAGGATTACAGACAAATGGGTGTTGACCACCAACTGCAAAGGGGTCTCGCTCGCGCGCTTGCTTTGCTCGAGCGTGCAGGGCAAGGGCAAGGGCAAGGCTGAGGAGAAGGGATCGAAGGGCAAGGGATCCAAAGGCAGGGCCCGGTCAGCCGAGGGGTTTGGGTTTGGGGGAAGGGGCAAAGGGCAATCAACATGAGGTGTGACAGACATTGCTTTCCATCATGAGGTAATCTGGTGCAATAAGCCCCATTCTAGTTGTTTCGGCCCTTGTAGTAGAGGCAAAGCTGGGTTCTAAATAGTACATTACGAAAACAATTTCGCAAAAGGAGCCCAACGTTGAACACCAGGAATCCGGCAACTGGCAGGGTGAACGGAAATTCGACCTAGTTTGAGACACAACCCTTTGGGTCTCCCCTTCAAAAGGGATTTTGGATATTCTGGTCTGCTCGTTGAGTCACCTCATCGAGGCTGACATCTGCGAGCTTTACATGGAACCTAACAAGTGGGTTGTTCAGCGGGGCACGTTGCAAAGCTGGTCTTTCTTTCCAAGTGGCGTTCCACGCAGCTTGGCAGGAGAGTACATACCTTTGTCATACCAGAAACATTTGGCAACTATATAGTCACAGAATTTCGGGTCAATGACAAGGGCCATTTAACACTTCCCACAGTCTTGGTACCCAGTCCAGTCTGTTTGGCAACATTGATCCGTGCCAAAAGTAGGGGGCGGGTTGAGGGAACCGGCGTGCGCCGGAAAAAACAATTTGGAGGCTTTAGGTTTTCTGGGGTCGATTCCCAGTTTCGACCCATCCTAGTGTTCAAATGGGTTGGTTCCAACGTAAACAAAAGCTACCAGTTCAATCTGGCTCTTCGAGACGGACATAGCCCTGCATTGGCTTGCAGCACTTCGCACACAGGGACATCAAACAAACCCGTCCCTTCTCATTTGGGAAAACATTTGACCCGTCTTGCTTTTCCAACTGGCGGAGAAAGCAGAGACTTCCAAGCTCCTGTGGGAGCGTCTTGGAAAACACTGCCTGTGCCGGGCGGATGCTTTCAGAAGCATGTTGTTGGGCCAGCCTTTCTTGAGAACCCTCTTTTTAATTGGCTTGAAGGGAAACCAAAGGGAAGCCAATGAATTTGGGGTCCTCTAATTTTCAGACCAACCCTTCTGTCATGCAACTGGCTAAGGCAAAAGGGGTGCCGTGATGCTTTCCCAAGACTTTCAGCAAGGAGCCCCTGTTGGGGGGGGTGCCATGGGAGCAATTCTCGGCGCTCCTTTTCTTTTGGGTCAGCAGCCAGCGACCCTATGGAAGCCGAGGCAGAGAAGCGTTTGAACGACCAGTTGCTTCTAACCTTCTGTCAGCTTCCGCGTGAGTGTGGATTTTGATAGTGGACATCATTTGGGGATTCATGCCCACCAACCACTTTGGAGGGTGCCATGTGACGAGGGTAAACCTTGCCGTTTCCCTTCCCAGCGCGGCCCGCGCGGCGTCAGGCAAGAGCAAAGGCAAAAGCTCCAAGGCGCGGGGAAATGCCGAGTCGCTGGAGGTTTTGACCAGCTTTATGACCAGAGCAGGTTGAGGGATAGTTCCAGTCCATAGGTGCCGCCTCTTTGTTTTGCCTTACATGGATTTGGGTAGACCATCTCAATACCAGGTGTTTGCTTGTGACTCACCCCTTTGCATTGCCAGACTTTGCCCTTTCGCCCTTTCGCCCTTTTGGGCTTCATTCATTGTCGCGCTTTGCAGGGGGGTTTAAGTCTGGCCACGTGGCCTTGTCTTTGGTGGTCTAAAAGGGAAGTCGAAGGGATGCAACCAAGGGTCCAATTTTGAGAACCCACATGGTTGGTGACATGTTGGGAGGCACCCCTGCAAAAGGAGAAGCTATCATTTCTGGGTCCCCCGATTTTGACACATGAATGTGGGGTCTTGGATGGCGACTTAAAGGGTCATGAGTCGCTTTGGTGGTGTCATGATCTTCTTGGAGGTTTCTCGTCAGCTGAGCCACACAAAGGGCTTTCCATTGTCGCTGGTCTTGGAAGGCATCGTTGTCGACTGAAAGAGTTGTTCCTTGTTGCTCGTTTCTGAACCAAAAGCAAACTGATTTGACACCTGACTTTCCTGACTCCAGTGTTTCCGCCTGTTTCTTCGAAGTAGATGCTCTTGAGTCAGGTCATGCAGAGTCGGCGAACCGCCGCTTCCCTTCTGGGCATTTGGTTTGTGCTGTTTCAGCCCCCCAGCCGCGCGCGCAGGGCAAGTATGACGACGATTACGCCTCTCCATCCAAGGGCAAGGGCAAGGGCAAGGGAAAGAGCAAGAGCAAGAGCAAGTGCCCTGGCCGAAAGACAATTGAGAGACACTTTTGGTTTCTGGCACGAAGCGCTGAGCTGTCGGATGATCATATATCAACGCATCCTTTTGGCCGGATGCCTATAAGAACTGGCAGGAGCCTTTGGTAAAACGACTATGCTTTCTGGGATGATTCCAAGAGGTGCCCTCGAATGCGGTGTTTCCAAATCTGGTGCCCCGGCCCTCGATCGGGTAAGGTACGACGACGACGAGCCCAAGGCAGATGTGGCCTGCAAGCCTTTCTTTGCAGTCCATTCGCTGATTTCCGTTCAAGCCATTCTTTGCAAGCTCAGCTTTTGGGAAGTCAAAAGCAAACCGAAATTGCCACGTGCAGGGGTGCCCAATCTTTTGTGGTTGGTTGGCAGATCTTCAAAACCGGGTGATGGACATAAATTCCCATGAGAATCAATTCCAGCAAAGGGTCCCCAGATGTCCCCCCCCAAAAAAAAACAGTACCCCTCTCCTGCTGTGGCTCAGCAGATGCAGCCGCGGCTAAACCCCTTCGGCCCTAAGGCTTGCAGCATATAGTGAATTGAGACATCAGCCACTTTTCAGGCGAGCTCACAGATTCGGATGTAACACGAGCAAAAGCTATGATGTAGGTCATTTACTCGAGGATCCAATTCTTATTTCCGGCTTGGATAGCTCCTAGAGCTCAGGGGTTGCAGGGTTCCAACTCTAATTGCCTGTTTGGTGAAAATTCAAGATTATTTTTTGGAAAGACACCTGGATTGCAGTTTGCTGTTTGTTGCTAGCAACTGTGACTGCTTTTACGGTAAAGTGCCTGGAACAAAAGGTAGCAACTTGGTGATTCGGGCAATGGGTAATGCTTCAAGGGGAAGTCTCGTTCGCTGGTTTGTCTGATCCATCTTGTCCCAACGCCATTGGCATCACCCAATTTGAGGCACCGCCAGGAATATCTTTTCCCACAATTCTGCCTCATAGACCGCTCGGCGCGAGTCGAGACCTTGTACCATCGGTCAGCAAGAAAAGACACCACGCACTGCGGAAGAATCAGCAAGCAAAAAGACAAGGCACCAGAACAGAAACGCCAACACCAAACCGAAAAGAGAAAAGACATGCCAAAGTTCAAAGGCCATGTCTGTACATGCGGGTGACTGCTGAGCACTTGTCTTGAGCGCATTGCAAACCTCTCAAGGTGTCATTTCACCTAAAGAGGTTGGTTTTGGAAGAACTTTGGATGTACCCCTTATGTTTTCTCTCACACCTTCACACATACTCACACATATGTGTATATATATATATATATATAATATATATATATATACATAGATGGATATCGACATTACATATGTAGAACAAATGCATGCATACTCAGCCGAGTCGTGCCTTAAAGAGCCGTGCCCAACATTTCGCGCCTTGCCCAGGGCAAGGGCAAAAAGGGCGGAAAGGGGAAGTCCAAGAGCAACTCCTGGGAGGACGCGCGAAATCGCTGGCCAGTTGGGGGGGGGGGGTGGAGTCTGGTAATCCCACTTTGAAAAGGTCATGGACAGTCCAGGCTTTCCAGTATTGGGGCATTCTGCTTTTTTTACTTTGGGGCTGGGGGTGGTGTCGAAGTCTCCCCCCGAAGCTTGCCACCAGAATAAAGGAAATTGAGTCCAAGACAGATTCAGAGCCATGGCAACTATTGGGCTGCAATGGCTCCCTCTTGCTATGAGCCCGAAGAAGCATAAGTGCCTGGAGTCTCCATTGTTGCTGGACTTTTTTTTTGGGGGGGATTTTGAGACAAGCCCATTTATAGCAGACGCGTATGTCTTTTTCGGGGAGTCTCCGTGATCCCTGAACCATGGTGTATTGTACGCACTATTTTGGGGTATGTAATGATCCCACGCTTTAGAGCGTCGAGACTCCAGGTACCATGATCGCCAGCAATCTGGATCATGAGGCCTCTCCTTTTGGAAGGATCGAGCGCTTCAGTGGGATGGCCACGCAAAAGGTCTTTTCACCTGAAATGGCGCAGTTTTATTGTGTTTTTCATGAGCCACGCACACGCGCACATTTTTGCTAGTCCGTGGCCATGGTTACACACCAGGTTTCGGCAAGATGGGTTTCGCGAGCTCCCTCATCCGCTTCAAAGGGTTGGCCCAACCGGAGATTGTCGACACGAGGGGCCCAGCGCCCCGTCCTTGGCTTTCCCATGCGAGCGGGTTCCGGCCAAGGTTCCGGGGGCCATTTGGCGGGGGTTTGCCTTTGGACTGGGCCGCTTTGGCGGGTGGGGGAAGGATTCTTTTGCGGACTGTTTGGGGGTGTGGTTTTTTGAAGGGTGTATACCCATTTTGGGGTGGTTTCAAAGGGAAGCCAAAGGGACTACTGTTCTTGGGTAGTCTGGCACGTACCTTTTTGGGGAACCCCTGTAGGGGTGTAGAAAGCTCGGGGTTGACTCTTTGGGGGCACCTCTATGAGTGCGGAAAGCCTCTTGGGGTTTGCTTTTGTTGTCCATTCTTCTTCGTTGGGGGTGGAGACAAATCAAAGAAACCATCCATTTTGTAAAGGCCGACTTTTCATATCTCTGCACAAATTGCAACGAGCGCGCCAATCCCCTATTAAAGATGAGTATGGCAAAAAGAAGGAGCTTCCCCTTTGTTTCGTGGTGAAAGGAAACCAACTAAGAGCCAACCATGCTTATCCACCTTCCTGGGTATGTGTAACAATAGGAAGAGGCCCCCAAAATTGTTGTTGTCTTTTGCTTCCCTTCAAACCAACCCCAAAAAGGGAACCAATCCCAAGCAGACCCATACTCCCTACGCCGTGCCCTTCTTGGTGTTGCCCTTTTAAGGAAAGCAAGCGCAAACCGCCAGTTTGCTAGGCCCCCATTTCAGCTTGCCTCTCAGTGGTTTGAGTCGGCGGTGGACTTCTTGGTTTCGCTTTTCCTTTCAGGACTCTTACTCCGCCCCGGCCAAGTCCAAGGGCAAGGGATCGTGGGGCCGAGGGCTTGGAGCTTCGAGCGGGCACGAGTTGGTCGATGCCCTCCCTCAGACTGACATGGAAGCAACCCGATCTTCCTAAGGGGTCTTGGGAGCTTCCATGTTAGTCTGGGAATGGGTGGTTGGAACGGGTTTGTCAAAGTGAGAAGACGCGTATGATTTTTTGGCCAGCACGGGGGGATTTCCCATCCTTGATGATGGCTGTAAGGTCAACCAAAAGGGATCCACCTGTTTTACAGACAATCCATTCGGCCAAACGGTCCTCGGGATGGGTCAGACACAAGTGCAAATATGGTAGCCCAACTTGCAAACTCAGCCTCGCAAGGTGAACCCTCGGCGGGAATTGTGCTTGAAGGACTCGTGCTGTTGGAGTGTCCCAATCCACGAACTACTGCGCAGTGACAGTGGTTTGCGGCTTTGGAGGGATAAGGAAGATTCCGGCATCCTAAACACTTAACGCCCTAAACCGGAACCCTAAAGCCCTAACGCTAAACCTGGACAACCCTCAACTTCAACCAAACAACTCTAAACCTATATCCTAAACACCCTAAACCTAAACCCTAAGCACCCTAAACATCTAGACCGTAAACCTAAGCCATAAACCCAATTCGAAACTAAGCCTAATGCCTAAAGCCTTAAACCCTCAACCTAAACCCTAAAAACCCGAAGGCATGGATTGGGGGTATGTTTAGGGGTCCATTATTCTTAGACATGCCCATATGGGCATGGTTTAGAGGGAACCATTTCCAACATGGTGGAAATAAGTCACAAGGGACATACTGATTTAGGGTGAGGTCCTAAACAAGGGAGATCTCAGAGGGGTTCTCACCAAAGGCCACGACCCTCCCACAAAGTTTGTTCAAAGCAGGTTTGTGGGGATGAGGGGCTGGCTCCCGCTTCTTGCAGTCGGAGTTTTCATTTGTCCCTTCAACCTGGGCGGGCTTTTGCAACACGGTGACAGTTGGCCTTCCTCATTACCTCCCCTACCCACTACCTCCCCTCCCCTCCCCTCCCCTCCCCTCCCCTCCCCTCCCCTCCCCTCCCCTCCCCTCCTCCCCTCCCCTCCTCCCCTCCCCTCTCCTCCCCTCCTCCTCCCCCTCCCCTCCCCTCCCCTCCCCTCCCTCCCCTCCCCTCCCCTCCCTCCCCTCCCCTCCCCTCCCCTCCCCTCCCCTCCCCTCCCCCCCCCCTCCCCCTCCCCTCCCCTCCCCTCCCCTCCCCTCCCTTCCCCTCCCCTGCTCCAGCTTTTGAGAACCTTTACTTTGCTTCCAACGGGGACACCCAACCAATCAAAGGTCGCAACCTGCCTTTCAAGCTCCCTTGTCACGTGGCAGGATGTCACAAAATTGTCCGGTGCCACCTCGTACCTTTTTGTGAAGGCGATACCAACAAGGGCCTGATTTTGACAACCTCCCAAGCGGTCTTTGCCTTTGTCGGGCTTGATCATTTCTTGAGGTGGCCAGAGTCGATCCTACGACTACTACAACAGTTACGAGGACCGGCAAAAGGAGGGGGAAGTTCTACCCCGCCTTCCCTTGCCCGCGCTTCCCGCTTTTTCCTCCACTCCACCTTGGTTGAGTCCATCCCGCCTCTGACGGCTTTTGAAAGAATGGAGAGGGTGTGTCCCGTTGTCCCTCCACTATCCCGCTACTTATGTCGACTTCAGAATCTGTGCAACCGCACGAAGCCAAGAAATCCTAGAACGATTCATTCCCCTTCAGGCTGATGACTATGGTCCTCTGGAATCCGAAATTGGCATTAGCCAGCTGGTCTTGCGTCGACGAGCGAGTGGCCAAAGGGATCCCACAAAGTGATGGCCCTGTCATGGCGGGAATCCTTCAGTCATTGAAGCTGACAGAAGAGTTTTGGGACACGCATTTCCGTTGAACGGAAGACAAAACGCATTGCTGCAACCTCAGCGGCTGAACGGCTTGTGCGCTACTCAGCTGACTTTGGGATGGGTTTCCGCTATTTTCCGGTGGTTTTAAGCTTTTTTTTAGGAAAGGTGACTGAGGAAGCGCGGGTGCCGTGTGGTAAATGGACTTCGGGAGCCGGCGAAAAGTGACCCGATGGGCGTGAAGGCTCCTGTGAGGAACCCTTCGGTGAATCGACTTGGATTGATTAAACAGGACCGTGATCAGAGGAAACTTGCTTGGATCATCATCCCGTTAGTGGGGAAATGTCCAACCCCTGATTCATTTACAAGTATTTTTTCCACAGTGTGTGTGTGTTTACTGAAAAGCGGGACCTAAGATGATTGTTTCCTTTCGGTTTGCCACGAAAACAGAATCGCATCAGTGAATCAGCCCAAAAGGGAATCTGTTATTTTCAGGGATTGTGCCCCCACTTATCTGCGGGTTGTGTGGGCATGGAAAGGGTTTGTCGCAAAATGGGATTGGCTTGACCCTCAGAACGATGGAGTACCTGCTTTTCCAGTGGTTTTGCTTCAAGCATCTCCCGCCGAAATAGGTTGCCATCAAGTTTTAGGCAGGTTAAATGCCCCCTTGCAATGCACCCTGCTAGCAGCAGTCAAGCCAACAAGTTCATACCACATGAGCGGGTGATGCACGCGGATTATGGTTGGTGGTTTTCTTCGAGGAGACTGCAGACAGCAGTCGGACGGGGTTTCCGATTCCATTCGCACATTTTCCACATGGAGGGCATCCATTGGGCTTCCGTTTCGTGCTTAGAAAGGAGGTGACTCATTTTGACAACGCAAAGCCGCAGAAGTCCTGGCATCAACTGTTTGACTTCTGCCGTCGCTCTTGCAACAGCTGCCGTGGTGCCCAGGGCGAATGTGCCAAATATGTGGTGAAACCTCAAGATAGGGAGCGCCCCAAGGTGAAGGGGAACGAACAACCCACGCTTGTTGTTTTTGGGAGAGATCGTTTTTGAGTGTTCTTTTTGTGTTGCTTCTGCTTTATCCAGTGTTGTTTTTTCCCGTTTGTCCTCCCTTGAAGCCCCACAGAGATGTTTCATTTTTCAGGCAAAACAATAATCAATGCGGTGTGGGTCAATATGGACTTTCAAGAAGAGGGGCGGGGCGCTCTCACGCGCCTATTGATTTTCTTTTTGCATATCATGTCTATTGAGGACAAGAGCTACGGCAGCGGCAAGGGCTATGGCAACAGCAAGGGGTGGGGAAAGAGCTCCTACAACGACTACAGCAGCCGCTGGGCCGAACTGGGGGAAGCGCCTGCCGAAGAAGAAGCAGTGACACGTGCGTGAGTAAGGGGTCGGTTTCAGTGTGCTATCATGTCAACCCCTGACAAACAACGGAGGTATTGAAGGCAGGTTTTCAAAATATACTGCAAATACTGGAGGGGGCAACCATTCGACTCCAAAGCTGCGATCCATGTGTGGTCGACGGACAAAAACGCAGACATTCTCAGGGGGCGGAAGGCAACTTGTACCGTTCCTGCTCAAAAGGCGAATGGTTTTGAACGTCACCCTTGGGGCTTTGAACATTTGAGTTTCCTTGAATCCGGGTACGCTAAAAGTATGGGACTCGTAAGGGGGGCCATGGCAACGCAGCACTATTAGTGACTGCCATTGAAGACGTCCAACACGTTTAACGTTTTGCAGGTAAGTGGGAAAGTCATTTTTCAAGAAAACGTTAAACAGTCAAAGATGCAACCCAATAGCATTCACACCCAAGACCCACTGGTCATCTGGACTTTCAATTCGGGGCTTTTCGGGCTTTACCCTCCCGCCATCCAGCCATACTTGACAGCCCCAAGAAAGCTGCCCACGCACGACCTGCCTTTTTGGGGTAACGAGTTTGTAAAGGGAGCGATGTTTTTGAAGTTTACCCTGGAAGCCCGGTTGCTCAAACGAATGAATACCCTTTTAGAGTGAGGGTAGAGGAACTTTCTTCCAGCCTGCCTGCATGGGTTGCCGTTCCAAAAGATCGCCAGGGAGGTTTGGCCCCAAAAGACAGGGCTCCAACTAGATCAGCTTCCCTCTTGGTTCTTTGATTTGGTGCTTTGGACGTTAGGGGTACCTTCCCAAGGTTCAACACTTAACCTGACAAGGGCACCGAGTGTCAATAAATCGCACACTCCAGGGACCCTAATTCTCTGACATTTTGGTTGAGGACCCTTTGGCAGACATCATTTGGGGATTTTACGTCCACCACGGCTTGCTGAGGCAAAGGCACAGGGTCCGGCAAGGGCCCGGCGCTCAGAAAGGAGACGCGACTCGCTGCCTTTGTAGAGCGCTTGAGTTGGGATGTAGAAAAAACCTATATACACCCTCATTGTAGTGCATGTTTTTTCCCGTTATTCCCACGGACGTCATCTTTCACTCAAAGGATTCTGGGGGGAACGTCGAGGCAACATGTGTTGCGAAGACCCAAGGGGGCAAGCCTTTATCCTGGCAGTGTCTTAGTCACTAGTAGTGGCTAATGGCATCTGACAGGACAATTGTGTGTGTGTGTGTGTCGGGTCCATGGCCTTGCTAACCCCAGGCTTATCCCAGGCTTGTCCTGGGCTTGTCCTGGCATAGACCCAGGGCCCCATGATTCAAATGGATCTGCCAGGTTCTCACACAGGACGAAGGGAAATGGGCTCATACCCAGGCAAGAGCAGCAAGGGCGGCTACTATTAAAGGAGGCTCGCCGGGGCCGGCTGCGAAGTCCGAAGGACGGTGGATTCGGTTTTATTTGGATGACACTGTTGATCCTATGTTCACAACGAATAGGATTTGGACTTGAAAGTGATTGGGTTCATTTTGTTCTCTCTTGAAAGGGCATCAAGGGCAGAGCGGAGCACTGTATGATCCGGGTAAGTCGTTTTGCGAATCTGTATGAGGGGCTGAAAAACTACTAAGAGTTTGCTTGACAACTTGGTATTGAGGTACCCTACAACCCCAGTCAATTCCAGGCTAAAAGTAGATGGCGCAATGCCCTGTGTTTCGAGAAAGGGGATTCAATCTGAATGGGGAGAATTGTGGCATCTGCTTTCACCCAGGTGTGGTCGATGGCAACAGTAGCCATAGGCGCTTTCGTCTTCGCTTGAACATTGGCGTTGGACTTTGCGCCTTTCGAGAGCTTGCATGTCATTTCAAGCCGCGAAAAGGGAAGCGATTCTCAGGGGACTTTTTCTGGATTAGCCTTTAGTCTTTTGCAGCAGCATTCTATGATTTTAGAACATTAGGAGTGTGCGTTTTTTTTTGCCCCCCTCCCCCGGAACAAAATCAACTGCAGCACTTTTAAAGGGGTCCTGAAAAAGGGCTTGGGCCTTGACTAGTTGGTTGCGTCCCCCACCCTTTGTGGCAGGCACGCCCAACCCTGATCAGGCGGCTCGTTTCACGGGGAATCCAGCCTCAAAAGTGGTGGACATCCTCCACCAAAACGGTCCAACCAATCAAACTCATACCTATTGTGCATGCCTGGCCAAATCCCTGTCAGATCAGTCCTGACTGGGATTTCACTAGTATGCAAAGAAGCTGAGGAGGCCAGAGCCGGGGTGAGAAGCTTAATTTGGATCATCCTATATATAGAGCATACCTTTTGTATAATTGGTTGGGCAAAAACTGAGATACCCCATACTCCAAATACTCACTTCGAAAGGCAGAGCCTGGGACGCGGCAGGTGTTCGCTGCCTCGCGATTTCGCCGTGACCAACCAGAAGCCACCTCGGCTATGGAGAAATGCGCAGGGATTTGATTCGTCGGGCCGAGTGGAGCTTTTCTAATACAAGGGGCTAAATAGTTAATAGTGATTAGCTTACTGACCAAATCGAGTTGTGAAGTGCCCCAAAACCACGATCTGATTTAATTATTTAGGCCCTTATAGTAGCCCAAAAAAGCCTTGGATGTGGTTGAAACACCCATTGTTTACACAACCTCCTTCTGGTTTCCCTTTCAGAGTTCTTTGAATGACCTTTGTTTTGGACTGCAACCGCGCCTTGCGCTGGCAACCTCTCAACTGGTGCCATTTTTGCATTGGACAGGCACACTAGTACGCTTGTAGGATTGATTGAACCGCTCAAATGACAGTGATGATATCTCAAAGGCTCGTTAAATAGCTATGCTGTATGTGTGTCATTGTCATTGTTTGAGAGGGCCCTTCTCGAGGCCTTGCACTCAAAGGGTGTTCCTTTCTCGAGGATACGCTTTTCGGGTTGTTCTAAAGGTGAACCATGGAACACCACCTTTTCGGAGGTCCCCCAATTTTAGAACAGTTCACAGAATATGGACCAGAGTCCGACAAGGCAGTGTTAAGCAGGATACAGAAGCTAACTCGCATCCTCACAAATTGAACCCCGGACTCCGCAATGAAGGTGGTTATCATGGGGATTTGCCAAGGTTTGAGTTGTCATTGCAGTCCACCCAGATTTAAAGGCCTGGGGTGATCGGAGGATGGTTTTCGCATTCATTGAAGATAACTTGAGGTGGGTTCGGGTTGGCTCAGGATGGCTTAGGGTAGGAAGGATTTCGGTTTGATTCGAGGTGGGCCAAATGCGTCAGTCCCTCTATTTGGAGGTTAGGTGGATTCCCAAGTACCCACAGAAAGCAGAGGTTCAAATCCCAACGCCAATCCAAACCCGTGGCTGGGCATTGGATCTTTTGGACACTTTCTGAGCAACGGGCAATATTTATCATCAGGGGATTTGGGTACACTGACCAAACTACCACGGCTCGCCAAAATCCAAAGTTATTGAGGGAGGCCATAAAAACATATTGACGAGGTCAAGTGATTTTACATTGAGTCTACAAACTACCTCAGCGTATCGCGAGGACCGATCGTGCCTCCGAAAAGGCTGCTCTTTTTTTTTTTTGGGCGGGGGCCTGTGCACAAAGCATATGCATCAAAATATATAACGTATTGTAATGTAATGTAATGTAATGTAATGTAATGTAATGTAATGTATACATGTAACTAGCCACATGTGCATACACACATATGTGCCCGTGTGTATATATATATAGATGTACTATACTTTTCCGGCATTTCCTTTTGACAGTTCCCGTGATTTTGCGATTCTTTATGGGGGCTGCAAAAAAGGCCCACGGGAGGGTCATGTTTTTCGTGTTTTAGTGCACCTGTTTGTCCCACACCTAGACTCAACCCTTTGGTCACCGGAATACTTTTTCAATCACCGAGACGGCTGAACATAGTACGTGGGCTATGCTTGAATCACACAAGGATTTGGGTCTGTCTCAAGACGCAAACCCCGCTTCTGACTTGTTTGAAACGGCCGCCCAGAGGAGGTCGATGCTTTCTTGCGGCAGTTTTGGACCAGGCTACTGATCACTTACTGTTCGCCTTCGATTGCTTCCCGCATGTAGGCCGAGGGTTGACCTGGGGCAAGAAGACGCGAGGATCCCCCAAAATTGAGAACCTGTTTTTTTTCCCTCTCCCCGGCCCCAAACCAGTTTTTTGGACCCCACACCAAGAGTTAGAGAGCAAACACATAGGTTGTGAGGTCGGGAAAACAGGGTCCGGCAAAAAATTTATCGCTTGGGAAGCAATACAAGGGCCTGACGAATTATACCCATTTATACGCATGATTTTTCTACCGCACTTGGGGGGGCCATCCTTGTCGAGAAACATGTTTTCCTAATTTTGAGGGACACCCCCCAACACGAAGCCAAAGCGGAGCCAGGTTGATTCTTTGCATCATTTTTGCGCCAGGCGCACAAAGTGCTTCTCCCGGATTTGTTTCGCCGCGAAACGCCTGCTTCGGCCGAGGTTCCCCGTGCTGACCAGCTGGTATCTTTTTTGCAAGCGTAGACATCCCGTATCTCTCCAGAACCTTGCAAGCATGGCTGGTCCCTGAAAAGGTGTCCTAATTTGTTCCCCACTTCTTCATAAGACAAGGGGGTACCGGCCAATCTGCTCAAGCCGCGGCAGCCTGTCAAGCTTTCGGCTGAGGGTCTTTTTCGGCGGCCCCCCCTCCCCACAGGGTTTCAGGCGTCTTGTTTGGGAGTTGGCACCCTTCTTGCTTTAAAGGGAAATCAGGAAACTGACGGCCGTTGGGAGCTTTAGTTTCATAGCTTGTTTGGGGCGCTTTTGTGGGCGCCTGGTTTGGGCAGATTGCGCCTGGGGTGTTTTACCCAAGTTCAGCCATGTAGAGCACCGCTGGCTTGCGAAACGAGCGACAAAAAAGTGCCAGGCCTGAGAGCGAGCAGCGGAGGTCCCTAAGCCCCCTCGGCCCTATCCGCTCTCCCTAGCTTCCTCCAAAGAAGTCCTTACCGGGGCTTGGAGGGGTGGAATCCCATGAGAGCGGGAGTGGGGAAGATGAATGGGGCGCAATGCTTACTCTGTAGATTCTGGGTTTCAGGAAGGTTTGTTGTGAACGACCACCACTGAAAGTCTTTGGAGCACCCTAACAGGGGCCCTGATGTCTTTCCCAGCTGGCTGGCTTAAACATTGCCTTTTCCATTTGCAAAGTATTCTCTTTCGATGGGGTGATTTAAAGGGACGCAGATAGCTGAGATGGTGTACAGCCAGCATCTCATCACACCTGACATTGGCGACCCTCGTTTGATTCGTTGGGATGCAAACGAGTCAGCTAGAGCATCTACCAAAATTATGGGTACGTTGGTGACCACTTTTCCGGCGCAATTCATTTGGCGACGTCGCCGGGGGAGGGGTTTGCAACGTTGCCTATGGTGAAGCTTTCTATCACAGGGATCCCTTATTTTCCGTAGGTGAATCATAGTTTTTCTGGTCAACCTGTTCGCCCCAGAAGCCACGCCAGGGCCGCCCCAAGCCCATTGGCAGATCGTTCCCATAGTCGGGGAATTCATATTATTCAAACAATCCCTCGTTCTTGAGGAGACTTCCTAGGTCCTGGAAGGTTCCATGCTAATTTTTGCCGAAATCCCGTGCAAGATTGGCTGGTCGGCCCCCATTAGCTAGCCAGAGTGCCGACCAAGCCTCAGACTTGTACGATGCTTGTTCCAATCAAAAGGGTTCCACTTCTTACCTTTGTGTCTGTGCGAGACTATGAACGTTTGCCCCTGCCAAAAGTGGGTCATGGATGCCTTGTGGAGGTATGCTGAGCTCCCAAGCAGGATCAACAAATGGACCACCCAGGTTTGTACATGGGCAACGGTCAATATTTGCGTATGACATGGGGCGTGCTCACCAAATTCCATTTCAAATTGGGGGGGCCATAGCCTGTGTCCAAGCACCTGCCCGTCACAACGTGTCAATCAGATCACCAAAATAACCCCCCCCCCCCCTCGCTATTTTAAGTGCACGCCGAAACGAAGCCACCCATTGGACCATCTTTAGGGTCCCCTAAAAACCAAATAGCTTGATGCCTTTCTGCCTGACTTCCAATCCCCGGAAGCAAGGCCTTGAGCTCGGCCTGCTGGGGACCCCATGGCATACGTCAGGGCGGTAGATCCCATTTGGACGGATTCACTTGCTTCAAAGTTAGGGGCCTTTGCTACAGAGGGGTTCCCCATTTTGAACACACACCCACACATGTGCGCGTGCGTGCGTGATTGCGCGCGCGTGTGTGTGTGTGTGTGGTGGGTGGGGAGCGCTTTGTGTTGGTCCCCCTAGGATTGTTTCAGGATCGGCGTGGAGCATTCTCCAAGTTGCGGAACCCCGGATGCATCCAAAGTGAAGTGAAATGCATGGGCCAATGTGAAGTATGGGCCTTTCCCATTCGATACATTACCTTTATAAATCGCGGGTTGGATTGCATTGGACAAGCACAGATGACCACCGGTCCACACCGATGACCTATGCAGTCTTTTCGAGTGGTGGAGGTCCTAAACAATGCATGGGGAAAAGAGGAATTCTTGGCCGTGAAACCATGTAATTCACAATCAAATCGCGGGTAGTTGAAGGGCAGTCCTAGCAAGAAATGGATGCAGCCCTTTAAATCCTTTATATGGCTTTTAGTATAAATAAACCATTTAATACCAGTTTGCGATTATGACTAATGTGTAAACTTTCTGGCTGGTCCAAGCCAAATCAAGCCATGATCATAGTGTAACTAGCCCTCTATGCCAAGCCTAAACCAACCTTAAGTCCACACCAAACCCAGATCCTGTGGACAAATCCAGCACCAGTTGGTGGTTTATCTCATTTGTAGCGTTCCACTCGAAGTGGATTTCGGCCATCCACATCATTTGTAGCTTCTCGAGTTAAGCTGCACGCCGGAGGCCCTTGGTGAGCGGGTCCGCCAAGCTCGTGCTTTGGTTCGGAAAAGAGATGCGGATGGGGACGGTCATGGCCGAAGCATGTGGTTTTTGACACCCGCCATGGTCAAAGCTCTGCTACTTGGTGGGCCATGCTGGCTTCCAATTGAGGGATCCATGACCACGCCTACTGTCCTCAGGTAAGAGTGCCATGGCCGCAACCCTCTTGTACTTGGATGATCATCGGATGCAAGTAGGGGAACGCGGGACGCCCTGTAATTTGCTGCCATTTACAAGGTTTTTTTTCCTTGGATTTGGTCGGTTTAATTGCAGTACCAAGGGAATTCACTGTGAGTTGGGCTTTGTGTGCTCTGCGGGTTTCAGCTCTTTGCCGAAGTGGGGGCCGCTCCAACTGGTTTCATCTTGCTTTGTGAGAAAGGGATGCATTTGGGAGATTGCAACCTCACGAATGGGTTTGGTTTGCGATCGGTTCCAGGCCCAAGATGACTTGCTCCCTATTTTAAGTCCATTTCCGATTTCAGCTTGGCGGGTGACTACGATTCACCACTGGGGATATTGTTGAGTCCCATCCTGGGGGTTATAATTATGGTAAGCATCTTTAAGCCATCCTGTGGGAATTCATGGCTGCACGAATCCGCTGGGCGGCGTTGCGAATGGCCCTAGGCAATGGATGGAGGTCATTGGGGCAGGGGACACCCGGGAATGGTCATCAGCAACTCAGTCGTTGCTTCCGCAACCATTGAAGGGTTTAAGGTTGGATCTTTAGCCTTCAGCTTTTTGGGCCATTATTATATTCCCACTGATCTGCAACAAGTTAAACTGTTGCGCAGTGGCAGGCCACCAAGTACACTTTGAGAACGACGCACATGAACACCTACAACAGCAATCAGATCAGACAAAGCACACTGGATACGAGCTGCCAGCAGTTCCTGATGACTTGCCCAGGCTGGTACGCCAAGTCCAGGGTGGTGGTTTTGCTTTTCACGTCCGCCTATGTGTCAGGGTCGCAGGGTGGCATGTACGCTTCGCCTTCTGTTGAGCCCCAAAAGGGTATGACTGGGTCAACGTTCCAGGGTGGTCGTTTTGCTGGTCGCAGCTTTTCTTGTTTGACAAGTTTGTTTCTTACGCCTCCAAGAGGAATTTTGAACAGGTTCCGGATTCTTGCCAAGGGCTTGTTTCCTGTGGGGGTGGAGCAGGGGTTGCTCTCATTCTTTTAGGCTTTTTGGCCTTTAATCTTCCAATGAAACCCGTGCCGCACCAAGTCGCAGCCAGAAGGAAGCTTTCTGCAGGCGTTGCTTTCAAGAGAGATGACCCGATGACCCTTCAAACAAGATGCACCTCCAGTTGATGGCGGGTTTTACGAGCAAATGAACCTTGGATGACCAGCCACTTAACCCTGGGAACTTCCATGTTAGTTGGGGAGGATGATGCTTGCATGTTAGCTTCTATGTTAGCTTCCATGCTTGCACGTTTCCAACGGGAAAGTTGGGTGGTGTTCCCTGGTACATGTCTCGGGCCGAGGCGCATATGTGGCACGTTTCCGAATGCAATTTGGGTGGGTGTACCGAGTGTCACCCCCTTTGCAGTAGATGACTTGGCATGGATTTTGACAGGGAACCACATCAAATGTGGTTGAAGGGGTTTCCCATAAAAGAACCTCACACCATCTTCGGGGGCTTTTTGCAGGGGACCTTGTGAACAGCTGAACTCTGGCGTGGTTCGGAACCGCTTCAGGGGAGTGTTCCGGACGGTTCCAGGGCTGTTGGGGAATACACCTGGGCTTATTTTTGCAATTTACCCACCGCTTGATTTGGATTCTTGAATGTCATCTCCTTTTGCTTTGAGGAGGGGGGCTTCTCTGACTCGCAAAATAGAGGGACCCCAAATTTGTTTCAACAATTGGAAACATGAACCCCCTGCTTTGTTCATATGGTTGCATCAACAGTGCCCTGCAGTAGCTTCGTATTCGGGTTGACGGACCCAGTCGAAAACAAAATCCGCCTCGCATGGGTCTCTCAGCAGGCGATGCAAAGTCCGCCTGGCACAAGCCTCGATTGAGTTTGGAGCAGCTGGGCGGTTTGGTTTGGTTTTGAAGGCCGGGCCCCATTTTTGGGAGTTTGGTGGCGTCCCTTGAACTGGGCAAGGCACTTTGAAGGGTTCTCAAAATTACTTTTCGGGCTAGGAAATCCCTAAGCACCATTTAGCTCCGGTCATTTTGAGGATGTTTTGCGGAAATGCACCCTGGGCAAACCATGCAAGAAGAAGATTGGCGCAGCTGATTCTTTGATGTTCCTGGGGTGTTGGTCACCTAGTTTCGCCACACTAGCAACACATACCTCCCCGAAACTATTACGGCACCTCGAAACGCTTTTTGTGTGTGTGTGTGTGTGGTTGGAAGAAGAAATGAGGGGGGACACGACCAATGTGTGGAGGTTCCCTCATTGAGACGCATACTTCATCATCAGCTGGTAGGTATATGTTCCCCCAACTTTTCTAGGGTTTAATCCATGCTGAGCGGCGCAGTATTTTTTCCAGACACAGCATCAAGCATTTGCGAGCGTGAAAGAGAACCGATTGACGGCTCAGGCCGGCCTGATTCGCCAAAGGCGGCGATGTGCGAGCGGAGGGGGAGGGGTCGCCCTGAAAAACGGAAGCGCCCCATGGTTGGTCTTTGAGATACGTTGTCAGAAGATCATTTTCAAACTGTTTGATTGGGAGGACACTGCGACCTCTGTCTGGGATTTCGACTTCTGAAGAACGGAATTGGGGCATCAAGTTCGGCATTGAACGATGGGCCACCGAATTGGAGCCCAGTTTTTCAGCGGATTCCAAGCCTCCGGAAATCAACCCCTTTGATGGGTGGGTTAACCAGTAGATATGCCCTCCAACAAGCCTTCAACGTCTTTGCCTAGCTTGGGGCAACTGGATTTGTACAAATGGACCAATGGCCTAGTGGAGATTTGACCAAATCTTACGTACCCTTTCTCTGAACATAGCGCACAACAATGTGGTTTCCTTTTTGCTCTGGAAAAGGTAATGTGCTGTGTCCAAATGAATGTTCTAAAGGAGCCCCAGACGGGGGCAGGCTGTGGCTGTGGTCCGGAACAATGTCGGATACGATGCAGCTCCCTCCCCCGTTTTGGGAGGGGCAATTCATTTCTGTCCAAAGTCGAAAGACCAACCTGAGAGCAGGCGTGGGGAGCCTCGCAAACCTTCTTACAGACAAGTGCTAAATTTATCATGTCCTCTTGGGGAATTCGTAGTTTCGACCATGGCTCACGTATTTCGGGGGCGATTCGGTCGGTCGGTTGAGTTGAGCAGGCGAGCAGCCCCCTGCCAAAGTCGGACGCAGGCTTCGCTCCGGCCGTTTTGCTATCATGGAAGACTATCGGAGGGTCTGGCTGCAGTTCCCGGGCCCCAAAACGTACACTTTTTCCATGCCCTGGTTGACTTTGATTGGGGTGTGCTCATTTAGAAGATGGAGTCCACATCACTTTCTGGCGAAGCCCCCTGCTGTGGATGGTCCAAATCCCCACTCGGGGTGGAGAGCCTATATTTTGCCCTTTTGTGGTTGGAAGTCGGAAGACGACCGAGTTCTTGCAGGTAACCAAGGGAACCACAAGCTTCAAAGTAGGACAATGGTTGTGTAGCTGCTGGTTGCTGTAATGGCTTTCTTAAACATCCCCTACAAGTTTCCAGGTTTCAGAAAGGCGACCGGTCGTTATCAGTTGCTCCCCCCCTTTTGGTCGTCACCTTGTCTTTCAAGCGGGTTTTTGCTTTTTGGGGTGATGTTTCTTCACGGCAATTTTGGTGGGTCGGACGGCCAGGTCCGATCCGTCAATCGGCAACGCGCTCGGCCAGGGGAAGCGCGGGCCAGCCTGAAGCGGGCCTCGCTGAAGGCGCGCTCGCCGTTGGGTCGGATCTTTAGTGGATCCCCCCCAAACAAATCTGGCAAGTGAACCCACGGCAGGGTCAGCACGATGCCCGAAAAAGGGGGGGCCCAAAAAGCTCATGGTATTGGGGGGTAGATGTCCTCAAGGGGCTGTCAGCTTATCACCTTCCAGGAGGGTAGGTTACAACCAAGCCTGCCTTGGATTTCCGATCACCCGTTGGGCATGGGTTTGACTGCTGTTGGCTTGGATCTTCAACTGGGTACTAAATAGCCCGCAATCTGATTTTCCCAAAAGGAAGCCTCCCCATTTAGACCCAGCATCGGCAGATCTTCAACTTTTCACCTTTCGTTGAACAGTATTGTTTGCCTACTAAGCCACGCATTGTGCACTTTTGGACAGGTCTCTTTCTTGCCATCAATCCTCGGTTCTTTTTTTGGTCGCTTCTCAAAACGCGACTCCCTTTCACACCCTTGGTCGTGTCAGCGAGGGCCCATATCGCAAGTAGGGAAGCAGGCAAACTCTGCGCACTATATCATACTCCCTGAGTTCCTGACTTCATACTTTTGGGAAGACCATTTGAGTGGTACACAAATGTTTGGACTTGTTTGCTGACCCTAAACCTATCCTTTAGAACCTGGTAGTTCCTCTCAAACTTGGTGGCTTAGATTTTGATATGTTTAGAGTTTAACGGGATGTAGGGAATTTTTGGGCGTTGCTCGAATGTAAGGACCCAGGGCACTGCACATGTTGTCTTTTTTTCTTCTTCTTCTACACACTAGAGGGGGGGGGAACCTATTTTTGAGCCAAGGCCGTATCCCTCCAAAGCAGAACTTTCGGCAATTGATGAACAAACCACCAAGAACATCTGGCTGGGTCAGCAAACAGCTTTTCGACAGTTGGGGGAATTCTACCCTCCCATCCACTGACATGGAACCTGATGGTTTCGGTTAGTGGACGGTAGGGGAAACGAAAGTCTTTGATTTGTAAAGGCTTTGGCTCGGTCTGAAATAGTGTTTTTCGGAACCCACTTTGATATAAACCCATATTGGGGTACCGTCTCCCCAAAAAACCCTCTAGGTGATCATTGGAATTCGAGTTTGGTATGAAGAATGCAAGCATTCCAACTTCGTCCTATACTCATGGCAAATGTTGAACCAGGATGAACAACCGCATTTAAAATCAGGGTGTGGCCACTTGTTGGGATTGCTGATGGGGCTAATCACCCAGGCATTGCTTTAATCCAAGCCTCCCCAACGGCCTCAAGAGGATCCGAGGGGGACTTTTTAAGGGGACCTTGGGTTTCCGTGGAATGCACTTTGAAAGGTGGAAACTCTGAGGCGAGTTTTTCTTTTCTGCAGGCCATGGAGAAGCCGACCGGTCTGCCTGTGAAACGAGCGATTTAGGCCGTGAAGACTCCTAAACAATGAGTCTTGCTTACGTTCAAGGGTTATAGGAGTTTGCCCAGCGTGGGGGCTGGGTCAAAAATTGAGTGTTAAAGCCCGAATCGCCGGCTCGTTGATTGGGGTGAGCACATGGGCAGGAGCATTGCCAAACGCAAGCCAGACGGGTTGTTCGAATGACCACCACAGAATGCGCGTAGTTGCCCTAGCTCACGATATTTGTTTCATGAGGATTGTATATATTTGGATATATACATATGTTTGTACATATATATATATATATACACACACATATTTGAGTAAGTCCTGGGGGCTTATCAACAGGGGTTATCAACCACCACCATTTTGGAGGACCCCCGTTTGGGGACCTCGTTTTGTCTTTCTCTTCCGTGTGAGGTTCGGTCAATATTACCAAAGGACTCACCAACCATGTCCAGGGGAACATATGCAATTTTGACCGCGGCTCAGTAGAGCAGCTGGGGTCCAAGGGCGAAGATCTTGTGGCAGGACCAGACACCTCTGGTTTTACCGGTGGTTTCGCCAGAGGAAGGACCGGATGGGAGTGCTGGGCGCATGCAAAAGACATGGAGGGGGGGGGGGGAAGATGTCTCAAGGTCAGGGATGGTTTCCTTTTCAACCCAAAAACACAGGTGTCCCGAAAAGCTGACACGCCACCCGTGGGAAACCCCTGAGCAGTGGTTGGTGGACATACATCTCCACCTAAATGATGTCCACCGAAGGGCCCCAAATAACATTTCCCATTTTTCATATGTTTGGAGTTTGGAGTTGTGGATCACTAACGAGCTGTTGCCCTTGGGTGTGACTAACATGGAAGTGCACAGGCCCCTTTTGGAAGACGACCGCTTTTCTGTTGGGAGAGGGTCTTGTGCATCATATTGCCTGTTGGGCGGGTTTTCCCATGTGAGCGGCTCTGGCAGAGCCAGCCAGGGGCGCGGTGCTGCCAGTTCAGGGCTATGGGTGAGGCCGGTGACGCCTTTGAACAACACATACTAGAATAAGGCTGTCGGGCGCTTTAGAACAACCCACTCGAATTTAACCTCCTGGGACATTTTGGAACCTGATGTTTGGTTGTCGCGTTTTGTTGATTGGATCAATTGAACCAACCTGTAGAGCGACTCAGCGTGCTGAGATTCAACCATAAACAACCACACAACCTTGGCGAGTCGTGGTAAATTCCTTTTCCAGTGTTTGGTTCATTTGGGAGGGACAAGGGGAAAGAAACTAATTTTCCCACAAAAAAACCCAGGGACTCACAATATTTCCCATGTCCTCTTGAGACAATTACTTGACCGTGGCTCACATATTCGGGGCGCGCACTTGTTTCCCCATGACTGCAGGAATTTCAGTAGATTGGCCACCGCCCCGACCTTTTTTCTCCGGGTACGGGTGGGGCATGGCGGGGCTCTCCTTCAAACGTTGGCTGGCCTTTGTTTCCCTTGAACAACCAGTCATTCAAAGGTTACCCCCGTCATTGGAAAGGAGCCCACCGCATTGCTTTTGCGGTTTCTTAGGCTATCCACGGTTAGGTTTACACATGTATATATGATGTGTGTATTTGCAGTGAGGCGGTAAACAGCGAAAAGACGAAAATAAAAAAGACATACCAGTGTACATGCTCAGACCTGCGTACGTACCTGCTTATATACCCTACCCTACCCGAACCTACCCTACCATACCACACCATACTATAGCAAGCAATAGCTTACCAACAAGCAAAATATCATACACTCCACCCTATGGTTTTCACGCCATTTCAAAAGCGCCCCGCAAAACCAACAAAATTTGGCATAAATCCTGCCATTTCAAACGCACCGCCCATAACTAACAAGAAATCTCATAAAATCAAATCAGCCCACCAGTATATCAAAAATTCAAAATAATTCATAATATATGAAAACATTATGAAATATTATTTACTGAGTGTTAGGTTCTTTCGTTTCCAATTTATCTTTATGCTTATCAGTTTTTTCATGTCTTGCTTTGTTGCATGTTCTGACTTCACAATTACAAACATCACAATGATAAGTTTGTTGTTTGTATGCTTTTTCCCTTGCTTTTACTTCTTCGTTTTTCCTGTTTTCTCTCCTCCTTTCATTTACTGCATCCCTTCGTTCTACTGTTTGGCGATGCCATTTGTTCCTTCCCTTCTCACGGCACTTGTCGCAATTTTTGTAGGGTTCCGTGAAAAATTCCACACGCCTATTTCTTTGACAACCCGAGCAATATTTCTTATCCATAACCCTTACATAGTAAGGCATCATCCCTTTAAATGGTTTTAGACATAATCTATAACATGAGCTTAGGGGTAAGACCCTCATAGAAAAAAAACCACCAAACAACAAACCACACAAAAAACCAAACAACAGACCATACAATAGATAGGGTCGTGCTTAAGTGCTTGAGACACGTTCCAGTTACTTAAGGGCGGCCGAGCGGTCGCCCTGGAGGTATGCAGGTTCTTGCTGGGGAGTGAACATAGCATGTCGAGAAAAAAACAACACTGATATCAGCATGTTTTTTTTTCAAGGTACTGATGCCAACATGTTTTTTTGTTCAAGTATGGTGTTATCTCCACAAAATGTTTTCCGCATCTAGCCAAACTGATAGCCCGCATTACATGGCCATGAGTCGTTTTTTTTTTGGCATTTAGCCAAACTGAGTTGTTGTTTTTTTTGCAATATGGATTTGCTCGGCTTTGCGTTTTGACACTCCCCATTGTTGTGAGTTTTCTTCCTTATGATCTAGACTCCTTTTGTTTTTGCAATATGGATTTGCCCGGATTTGCGTTTTGACACAGCACCATTGTTGTGAGTTTGTTCCTTATGATCTAGACTTCTTTTGTTTTTGCAATATGGATTTGCCCGGATTTGCGTTTTGACACAGCACCATTGTTGTGAGTTGTTTCCTTATGATCTAGCTCCTTTTTTTTTACAATATGGATTTGCCCGGCTTTGCGTTTTGACACTCTCCATTGTTGTGAGTTTTGTTTCCTTCTGACCTAGCCAAACTGATTGCCCGCAATGCGTGTTCATGTTGTTTCTTCTCAGTGATACTGTAAGCCTGTTGATTTTGTCCTACACACCTAACCAAATGTTTGCGCGTTTGTTCTTCTAATGCAATACGCTTTTACCGGCTGACTGCGTCCTGTTATGTTGCACAACGTGCATGTTAATGCCCAACATATTTCTTTAATACTGGCGGATTCCGACACATGGCGCATCTAAGTGACACATATCGTTTCCATTACAAATATATAGTAAATATCACCAATCGTTTCTAGCAGACGACGTGTCCAACGTCACTCAGAGACATACAAGTGGGCTCATCCACATTTCTCTCCAGTCGGGTTCACACACAACAACGGTAATGAGGCCACCTTGGACTCTTGGTTACGAGATGTTACGAGCCCATCTCCAACAATCAGACCACTGATGACACACATGCACTTGCCCGCTGTGATGAATTCATGAAGGAACCAGACTGTGATGAAGTTGCATCTGTTTGCGACAAGTGTCTATTACTTCTGGTGTTTGGCACGGTGTTTGATCTATACACCCCATCGAGTTTTCATTGAGCATGAGTCATGAGCATTGCATTGAGTCGAGCAGTTGCCGCCGGTGTAGGAACTAGACCGGAACCACGCCACACGGGGTAAACCTGGATAAACAAGTGGGGGTTGTGTCAAGGCTGCGACGCGTAACCCGGGTCAACCCCAATCGAGCAATGGATCAATCGATCAACTTCGATCAACCAGGATTCAACCAATCAGTTAGTAACTCAGATAACCACTTCGCTTCGTCAGTCAGTCACTTAACCCCTGGTTGTTCAGTCGAATAGTCAATCAATCAACCACTCAATCAATCAGCCAGCCAGGCCTTTTCGGGATACACGGGTCACATGCCGTTGATGCCATTCGTTTTGCAAGTGCACATAGTTCAATGAATTATGTTCATCGTTTTTTGCCCTTGGCTGAATTGAGTTGCATGTGACTTGTGACATTGTATTCATTCTGCTGCTCCGCCCGGCGCGGCCCGCAGCTGGACTGGTCGGACTTGGTCAACACGGTGCCATTTGACTGTATACAGTTGCACTCTAAGTAGGACTCTAGTACTGCTGGTCATACACTTGCTTCAGGGGTTAAGAGTTGCTCCTCCCCATGAGTGACGTCGGTGTCGGCATCATCCATCGGGCGGATCGATTGCTGCGCTTGGCGGTCATCTGCCGGGATTGCGGTGAGCTTCTTTTGACACGCAACCAGCTGCTTGGACCTAGACGAATGCTCCAGTCAGCAAAATCATTGAAATCAGTTGACAGGCTAGGGGCCAGGGCCCAGACTTAATTTAGCGGGGACCCGCCAGATTGTGTTGGAGGTGTGCGTTTTTTTCTTCTACAGAGACATGTGCCTGGCCTGACATGTGAGCTTTCACAACCCCAAGCGCAACCCGTATTAGTTGTGTTGATTTTGGGAGAGCTTTACTCGTGTGATCGTGAGTGGATTCTACTGGATGCTTGTTTGTACGATTATGGTCATGGTAACTTGTTGCGACCTGCTATGCGGTTATTCAGAATCCATGTGACAGTGATTGCGTTGTGATGAGCTGTTGAGCCGAGAAGAGGCGCAAACAAATCCATCAGGTTGAGCCGTTGAGCCGCGTCGCGTCATTGCGTTTCAGACTGATGAGTCAGATGATGAACGCGTAAATGATTGCGCTGACTGTCTGACAGTCCCTGAACTTGACTAGAGACAGGCAAGCTGACAATAGGAGGGGCTAGGCTATTCAGTTTCCGCGGCGGGACGGACGAATCCAATAAGTTGCACCCATGGCCCATGGCCACGTTTCTAATGTTGTGCAACATGGACTCATTGACTCATTGACATTTACATAACTATCATTCTGTCGTAATTGCAATGCTGCAACATGACGTAAGATTATGTTTCATTCTAACTTTGAGTGAGTGGACTGCGTTGTACTGAGACATTGGCTCGGCGCCCCATCGACTCGTCGACCGATGCCTGGTTGTTTTTCACAAGTGCCCAGGCTGGCTGCCTTCTACACTTCACTATGCGCCGATCTTCCTCGGGAGGAAGCCCGGCGCAGAGTTGCACGATGGCTTTGCAGTGTGGCGCCTTTGCTGCGTTACGTATGGTATGGCTGAGGGGCCGAGGGGTGTGCAGGGGGCCGGGCTGGGGTGCGTCTGTGTTGTGAGTTGGGCTGTGTAGTGTAGCTCTATGCAGTCTATGTAGTGGCAATGTAGTGGTATACGGCGGTATAGCCTTGATTTACTTGTGATGTGATGTGAAGTTCACTGTGAAGCTTCGATGTGGGTAGCATGTCACTCAAGTCCTGGGTTGCTGGGTCATTGCTCAGCCTACATACTACATATGACAGGACATGTGACACATGACCGTCACATGACCGTCAGAGCTTAGGCTTTTGGGGCCGTTGGGACCTTCGGACGTTCGCCGTCAATCACACAGCACACACACACACATGCGTCACACGAGCGTGCCGTCTTGGATCGCTTTTG